GCTGCTAGTATAGCTCTACGAAAAAAATTAATAGACGAGGCAAGGACTGCGCGGGAGTTGAGAAAATAGCGAGGGATAAGGAGAGAGAAGTGAGGGCCAAAGAACTCCAGTTAAGACGCGCCCAAAAAGCTCGCGATCGCGCAGTCGCAACTTCAAAAAAAGCTCGCGATAAGCAAAATATACCTAAACGAAAAGCTTCATCGTCTCAAAAAGTCAAAAAAAGTCAAAGGGTGGTGGTGATGCAGGCAGCCAAAGTGGTGGTGCGTCTGCATCGTCGGCTGCGCAGCCCACCACCAAAACAACGATGCGCGGCCGCAACATCAAACTGCCAAAGAAATTTGAGTAGATAGGATTGTTTTTTGAACTATTTAGACTACTCCACCAAAAAATCTCGTGATAATAGCTTTTGTATGGTGCTCTACAGCCTCATTTTTGATAGGCGGACATTTTAGTGGTGGTGTTGCATTGTCTGACCCGTTGCACGCATTGACCACCCACACTAGAGCTGCTTTCCGCTATCCCATCCTCTTCCTCCTCTTCATCCACTCCTGGCAACAAACCGCCTCTCTTCTTTGCTCACGGCGGCTTCGGCTGCGCCGCAGTCTGGACCTCGTACATGGTTTTCTTCGCGTCTCGCGGCTACGCTTGCTATGCACTGAGCTATCGCGGGCACGGAGGGAGCTGGCATCCTAGTTTTTGGGCGCTGTACTTTACGAGCCGCGATCGGATGGGCGGGGATCTGGTGGCTGGGATTCACGAGGTGGAGAGACTGGAGGCGGAGAGGAGAAAGACGAGCGAAGAAAAGGTACACGTGGTGCTGATTGCGCATTCGGCAGGGGGTGCGCTGAGCCAGTGGGTCTTGGGCAAAGGGTTGATACGCGTTCAAGGGTTTTGTATGTTTGCTGCTGTGCCGGGATTTGGGTCGTACGCCCTTCCTTGTGCTACTATCCCACGTCTTTTGGCAACAGTTTCGACTAGATGCCAATTGGTTGACTGACCGACTAACTGGCTTTGTGATAGATGGTCCTGCTACAGGTTCTGGGCTGCTTCGGCACCGCTCCACTTTGTCTATCGTGGATTCCATTCAAAATATTTGCTTGCAACGACAAAGCAGGTTCGCGACCCGTTTTTTACGGCGTCGACACCAACGTCGGTGGTTGAGGCCCTGGAGCGTCTCCTCAGTCCATACGAGTCCATGTGCTGGCCTATGCAAGCTCTGCTTCCCATTGTCACAGGCCCGGATGTCATTCAATCCATTATCGGCTGGAAGCTCCGACAGTCTACTCAAGGCGCAACGCCGAAGCCTAGTATTGCGCCCAGGCTTCTAGTTGTTGCTGCTGAGCTCGACGTTCTCTGTACACAGCCCGTCTTGCGAAATGCCGCGAAACGATATCGAGCCGCGTTTCTTGCTTCGTTGAGATTGAACAAGTTGGATGGTGTATCCGAACATGCTGTTCATCTCGGACATGATGACAGCGAGGAAGCGAACGGTGTAAGATTCGAGATTGTCAAAGGAGTGGCGCACCATGTGCAGAACCATGTCGAGTGGGAAAAGGGTGCCAAGGTAGTGCTTGACTGGGTGCAGGAGCTGTAGTTAGATGTTTCAGTCAGCGCCTACGGCCCGGCGGTATATCGATCCTATTCTGCAGTCAATGTATTACCTATCCAGCAGGGAACTTCGCTATTACAGCGTTTATTCCGCTAGCTAGCAGCACAACCCAACGAGCCCCATTCCGCCCCCGTGGCGACCGTTTTTCCGCTGGGTACATGCCTGTTTACAGAGCCTTGGTCAACTGCCGGGCAGTCAGCTCGCCTTGCCAGGTTGAGACAGGCAACACGACGTGCATTGTGTCACGGAGTCGCTTGCGCATCTCTGTCTACTAGAAGATGTGGAGATTTGGCGGAGAAAGCAGCCCCATGTCGGCGAGTAAAGTCAAGGCTGCATTGGTAAACCGATTGCGCAATTGAAACAGGGTACAAAGGACAGGGCGACACTAAAAATAATGAGCATGAGGAACTTGTATTTTTAGTCTGGGAAAAACGTCATGGCAATGCTGCATGTGCCCAGTTTCTATTCGTTATTCAACCCCCCTCCCAAGAGACCCGACGCAGCCAATGCATCCAAGGCACGCATCTAGTCGGTTAGACGAGACGGCCTGTGTTTGCGGGGCATTCGAGAATATGTTGCAGGCTATGCTTCCTAGTCGATGTTGGCCTGGATAGCGGCCTCGAGGGCCTTGGGGTTGGCACCGACAACCTCGGCCACCTTGTTGCCACCCTTGAAAAGGAGGAAAGTGGGCATGGCGCGGATGCCGAGTTCCTGGGCGACGTCGGGGACCTCGTCCACGTCGAGCTTGTAGAAGCGCGCCTTGGGGTATGTGTCGGAGAACCTGGTACCATGAATATGCGATGCAGGCTCGGCAGGGGCAAAGACTTACTTGACGACCTGGGGGGCAATCACTTTACAAGGGCCGCACCATGTCGCGAAGCAGTCGAGAACCATGAGCGTGTCCTTGTCGTTCATGGCGGTGTCGAATTCCGCCTTGCTGTAGTTCGTATCGCGTCAGCCGCACCTGTCACATATGACGTCGCCCATGCCGTGGGGGAGGGGGATGGGGGCCGACACAGACACGAGACTTACTTCTGGAGGTTGTGGACGCCCTGCTTTTGTTCGCTCATGCTTGCGGTATTGGAGAAGAAGCGCTGGGTGAAGAGTGGTCGGTAGAGGGTTGCGGTCGAGGCGGGGTTGATCGAGGCTGTTTGCAGGCGTGCAGAGGTGAGCAGTGTTCTGTAGACGCGCGACGATGGGGCAAACATGATATAAGAGCCAGGCAAGGAGCGAGCCGACTGGGCGGGCGTGATTTGAAATGCTCGGGGGGAATGGAATAAACTGGCCGCCGTTGCCGATTGCAATTGTGATGCGCCGACTAGTCTTCGGCAAAGCCCTCGGAGTCCCTGCGCAGAGGCAAGAGTCGTCGTAGTGGGGTTGGGTGGCTGGGCTGCAGCGAGGCAAATGGGGACGGGGAGGCTTTGCTTACAATTCCAAGTGGGCGCGTGTGCGTGTGAGTGTGCGTGTGAGTGTATGTGTGTGTGTACGTGTAAGGGCGAGGGCTGGAAGGATAGGGCGCTCTCGTGGATTTCTAGGGCTGGCGTTAAGCGCGATGATAAAGGCGGGTGGATTACTGTACACGCACACGCCGCGAGGGGCTGCCGTGATACATGACGTGCTTGCAGCCTGCCCGACCGCCCGAATTGCCCCGCCACGCTGCCGCTGCCGCTGCCGCTGCCACTGCCATGGCTGCCTTTGTGCTTAGGCAATGCAGTAGTCATGCTCGCACTCGCAACGCCTTCAGCTAGCTAGCTGCAGGCCGGTAATGGCTCCTCGTCGACAGCCACCTGGCCTGACGGCTGCCCGGCCACCGAGCACAAGGCATTCCGTCGAGCCGTCCACACATCGAGTCATGTACACACGCCATCAGTAAAGCTTGATTGAAAATTACTCTCTCTCTCTCTCTCTTCGCGGAGAAAAGAGCCATGGACACAGCGTTGTCGCCACGCCGCGTCTATGTCGTCTGCTAAATAATGCCCTTCCCGGCCCCCACATGCGGAGAAAAAAAATACAAGAAATGTCCGTGGCCCCAAGAGACCAGGCCAGGTAGCCCATGCCCGCATGCTGCCCAGGTACCCAAATACTAACTCCAAACCAACATGGCAATCCGAAAAGAGGGTATCAGAGAATCCGACTGCAGCTGCGTATGCCATTACACACCAAAAAAGTAACCCTGAAACAAAATACAAACGCCACGCTATGCAAACCACAGAGAGCAGCCCAAATCCACACAGGCGTCCGAGAAGAGAGCAGGCATCCGTTGGAGCCCTTCATGATTCAGGAACCGCATGCAGCCAGGCCAAAAACAAAACGACAAGAGACAGGCAAGGAAAGGCTAATGAGCGACTTGGTCAGTGGGTATTGCATGGTACAAAGGAAAAAAATTGAACACAAATGAATGGCGCGGCGAGGCATGCATGCGGATTCTAGCATCAATCAGTTCTCACAAAACACTTGCCTTACCCCCCCTTACTCAGCCGTCTTCCTGTAGGAGCTGTCGAGCAGGGGTATGCTCGACCGCTTGTGGATGTCCAGGAGCCTCGCCGAGCCAGCGCTGAGGTGCCGGACGTGGCCCTTGCCGAGATCGACGCTCTTTGCACGTTGTACTAGCATGGGCTCCGAGTCTGATGTTGGCGATACCGGCGACACGGGCGACTCATCGTTGGGCGACTCCACCACCAACTCGGCCGCCCGGGAATATCGATTCTCCGTGTCGTCGGTGAAGACGCTGAGGAGGCCTTCGGTAGACTTGATGCGCGGTCGACGGTAGACGATGGTGGGTTGTCGGCCAACGCTGCTCTGGACACGCTGCTGTCCCCCTTCATCAGGCAGCTGGGGTGAAGCAATCGGCTCAGCTTCCTCGTCAGACTCGACTGCCGTATCAAGCGCCATGAGCAGGCTACTAGCCCGCCGGCCCTGGTCTTCGCTCACGTAGGGGGACCGACCGCGGTGGTGAGCCGGTGCGTGCGTCAGCCTCTTGAAATACTCGTCGTCGGTCATGCCTAGCTCCTCGTACGAGGGATTGAACTCTTCGTGGCGCAGCATCGCCGAAGACGTGCGGCTGGTCCGCATTTGAGATCGGTTGGATGCTCGCTTCAGTGGTCTTCCAGAGAGCCACGATGCTTCAGAGTCGACCGATGCAAGTGATTGCGACATGGCGTGGCCGGCCAGCGTTGGGCTGACGGGGGAGTCGGATCGGTCTCCAGACAGTAGCCCCGCACGAATGTCTGACGGGTGCTGACCGCTTAGGCGAGCAGCATGGACACTGTTTGCGGCCCCTTCTGGAGATTGCACGCGTGAATCGGGAGGCGACAGGGGGAATTCCGGGAGATCTTCCCTGAACTTGGATCGTGTTCGTTGGGGTACGCCTGCGGGCCGCTTAATCTGTATCGGTTGTGTAGCAGACGCCGGGGCGACAAGATGAGAAGGAAGGGGCTGGCGAGACATGGACTCGCGCGATGTGTTGGAAAACGAGGCTTCTGAAGGCGAGGCCCGTACCTGGTCTTGTGAGCCGCGCTTTCTTCGGAAGAGCGAGGCAAACACGCCCAGGCGCTTGCCCTCGAAACTGAGTCTGCGTGTAGAAGAACCTTGTTTCGAGGTCGCGGCAGTGTCAACCGTGTCAACGGGGTGCAGGGATCCACTTCTGCCAGGGTCTGGCATGTGCTCAAACTCGACGGGCGGGTCGTGGGCAATCTTCTCGGACAGGAGCTCGGGCACAATCGAGGCGTCGGAAATTCCGCGGTTGTGAACTTGGGAGAAGCGGATAGCCCGCGCATCCGACACGACGGGCTCTTCGGCAGGGCTGTCGACGGGTGTGGGCAGCTGGGTGTTCTGCTGTGCCTGGGGCGTGACGGCTATCTTCAATCGCTGCGGGTGGCTTGGTGTCGATGGCCGGACGTCGTCCATGGGCGCAGGAGCGTCTCGTTCAATTCCCAGGCCAACCGCGCCTGTTCCATGCTTGCGGGGAGCGGCCGGCGTGCCCCGGACCTCGGCGGCGTTCTGCTTGTCTGCACGCCGTTCCAGCCTGCGGCGTAGGCGTTCTTGGTCGGCTCTGGCCTTCTTCTCCCTCCGCCGCTTGTCTCGCTCGAGGATGTCGCGGAGCTCGCCGGCGTCGAGGTCGTCGGCAAGATCGTCGATTCGGCTTGTTCGCTTGCTCGCCTTGTCGTCTTCGCTGCTGATGGGTCGGCGTCCGCGGCGGGTCGACTTTTCGCTGTGGGCGTTGGGCGACAGACGGTCGCCGGGAGGGTAGTGCGAGCCGACCGACACACGGATGGTCGGGCGGGGCGACAGCATGTCGAGGGCGCTCACGCAAAAGGCGCGGATTTCGGAGCCGCCCGACATGGAGGAATGGATCGAGTCTGCAAGTGGCAGCGAGACATTGGACGTGGGGCGCTCGAAGCGGTGGTTCATTGCGCCCTTGACCTTCTTGCTGTCTCTGCGGAGCATGGCGCTCGAGTTGGCGGCGGGGCGTTTCTGGGGCATGGGGAGAGACATGGCACGGATTTCCTCTTCGCGGATGTGGTCATGTTCTCTGCGCCTCTTGGTTGACTTGCGGCGGAGGGCGAGGAGCGACGAGTCGGTTGCGGGATCCCTGCGCATGGACTGGGGTCGGTGGAGTTTGCCGGGGGGACTGGGGTTGGGGTTGGGGTGGGCGCAGAAGTTGTAGGGGATGGCCGTGTGGTCCTGGGTTACGGGACGCAGGTGCGGGCTGTGTTGCAGGCGGCGCTGGTTGGGGAGAGCAGTGATGTCTTCAGCACTCGAGAGGTCGGGGGCGAACGGGGAGGGGTCGGGCAGTGTCTTTTGAGCGTGCGCAATCGAGGGCGCCGTGGAGCGCGAACTGCCCCTTCTGCGGCGCTGGCGGAGACTAGGGCCTCGTCGGGGGGCATGGTTGTTCGGCGGCGGGCTGGTCTGGAGGCCTGCGACAGGCGACTTTGTGTCTGTAACGGCAGCGGCTCCACCGTCTCTTAGTTTAGCGGCTTTGCGGCGTCTGCGCCCAAACAGCCACATGGGGTCTTTGCGGGCGCCAGAGCGACGGCGACGGTTGCTATGTATATATCTGGATGCGACTGGGGCGGGTCGGCAGAGGATAGCGAGGCTGCGGGTGCTATGTGGGAATCGAGGTTGTGCTGCACGGGCGGTTGGGCTGCATGTTGCGCGGGCTGCAGAGGCGGAGTGACAGCGCACACAGACACGGCGGACGGGCGGGCGGACGGGCAGCGAGGACTGTAGGGTAGTGGGTGGAGGTGGAGGTGGAAGGTCGGGTAGGGAAGAAGAGAGGGCGGCGGGCGGCGGGCGAGACAGACAGAGGTGGGCGTGGCGTGCAAATGCCTGCCAGGGCTGCCAGGGCACAGCGGCCGCGAGAGCGAGTGCGAGTGGGGACAGGCACAGGCACAGGCACAGGCACAGGATGGGGATGGGGATGGGGGACAGCCGCTGTATGTGTGGCGGGTGATGTCAGGGAGGCTCCGCCTGCTCGTACTACGACATGGGCGCAGAGCTCGTGTGAGTGTGAGTCTGAGTGTGGGCGTGTCTGGTGTGCGTGGGTGTGGGTGTGGGTGTGTACTGTATGTGTGGTGGTGGTGGGCGTGCTTGGAAGGGCTCGACCGCTTCGACCCTCGCTGGTGACGGTCCCCACTCCAAAAATATACCCTTCTTTTTCGTTTTGGGTTCGGGGATTTGTCGCCCCTAGTCAGTGCGCGCGCAGACAGACAGGCAGACAGGCAGGCGGCAACAGCAGTAGCAGCAGCCACGCCCATGTATCCATCCCTCTAGCATGTCCGGTGTATGTATGTATGTATGTATCTCTGTCGGTCTGTATGTATGCATGTATTGCTTCCGTCGCCAGCACACGACAGCTCAGCACCGCCCAGCCCAGAGGCGCTGGAACGCCAGAAGCCCCGTCCCAGATTGGGCCCGTCGATCTCGCGGCCATGGCGGCCAACCAACGGCCGCGGCCCCTGCTCTTAACCACCGTCTCCTCCTAGCCGCAAACGCCACCCACCCGCTCACCCACTCGCTCACGCCGGCCGTCAAGACGTGTACCATGAAGCATCCATCTCTCGCCCGCCGCTCACCTCAGCTTATCGGATGCCTGCCACGGGCCGCCCTTTGCGGTGCCTGGCACGCCAGCGCCAAAAGAACAAAGTTTGCTGCAAAAAAGAAGGAGAAAGACCATGGCCGGCCACCGCCAAAAGCAACGCTGCAAAACTCCGTCATTTCCACGCCGCCCCCTCGCGCGCACGCAGGCGGGCGGTACGGTGCATTGCAGTGCGCGCTGCAGAAAGTATCAACATTCAGCGCGACACGTCGGCCTTGCAGGGCCAGCAGTGGGCGTCGCTAGCTGGGCCTGCCGTCACGAAGCCATATCTCCCTCCAATGGCACCCGCGCGACGTCGAATCCTCCCTGCAGCAGACGCAGTCGACGGCGCACACAAGTGGGAGCGTTGTGGTTGCTGCCCTCTCCCCAACTCAGGTACCCGTGTCTCGACCGCGCACGTTTCTCGCCTTGCGTCTCCGCTTTTGTACGTCTCACTACATATGTCTACTGTCCGCCTACATGCAGTAGACACACGACACTAGGTCGACATGCCTACACCTCGACGACACCCAGGCATACAGAGTCCCAAGGGGGGTTCCTGGCCGCGCTGCCCCTCGTCTCCGCGCTCCTTGTCGTGCCTGCCCAGCGCGGTGCAACGCCCAAGGCGAGCCTTGGTGATGTTTCAAATGCACAGTGCTGTGTTTTGTCGTGTGCCTTGGCCGGCTTGTGCACGCCCTGCCCCCAAGCGCGCACGTCCTGCAAGAGTGCAATCCCGTGTGCCGCCTTCTCGGCGGTCCGCAGCCATCGACTCATTGCACGGCGGCGGCGGCAGCAGCAGCAGCAGGGCAAGGGCAAGGGCACGCCGGGCCAGGGCACGCCAGGGCAGGGGCCGGGGAACAGGGAACACCAACTGTCACACCTACGTCAATTTTGATTTTGCATCGCTTAGTCAGTTCCGCCACGCCTCGACGTCCAAACCGCCCCCCCCCCAGTCAGAGTTTGGTTCCCTGGGACAAAGCCTAAACTTACCTACCCTCCCCGCCGCTCCCTACAGATTAATACGCCCAACCCAGCCCGCCTGCGCTGGTGCTGGCTAGATAACGACGGCTAAACACACCATTGCTCGCCTTCTTGGTCCATTGCCCGCCTAGTGTCCACTGACACAGTCCGCCGTTTGGTTGGCCCAGCTCGTCATACATCCAAGGGCTGGTCCATCGCCGGCACAAGCCCCAGCAAATGCAGGGAACGCAGCGCGTCCCCAGAAGCAAGAAAAAAATTATCGTCCTATCTGCTCACTACCACAACCCTGACCCGGAACTTGGCTGCTCGGCTTCATTGCCCAATGCTCCATAGTCGTCCACGCACGCTTACATTCTACATACGCCCGCCAAAGCCTGACGCATGGCGGCTGCCACAACAGCACACCAATACCGCCTTGCATCCGGCCAGCATGCTGCTACTAGCTGTACTCGTCGCGCTGAGTCACAGCGTTGCATCTCCGGCATGCGAGAGACCACCCCAGCCCGCGATACCTTTTTCCTGGTGCCTGCCCCACACGACAACTATGTTTCAGCATACTAGCCTCAGAGTAGCTGTGCTAACCCCATCTCGACATAGACTCGATGCACAATTGTTGAGAGCGCCTCACTGCCATGATATCACCACGCCCTTCTCCTTCAAATCTCGTCCTATTCGTCTTCGTTGACTCGCAACATGTACAGCGCCCGGTGCCACCGATGCCCCATGTTCCTTGCTTCATTTTCCGCATCCTTTGACGCATGCAGAGCTCCATTCTCACCGCGTGTTGCGGTACTACGCGTCATACGATATACACGAAATCGAAAAAAAAAACAAATCGAGACAACAAATGCACGACCGCCTTTGCTATAGGCAAACAGCCATCAGCGGCCTACCCAGGCTTTTTTTTATGTGACACGAAAAGCCTAACAGCCATGTCGTTCCTGACACCTCGATGCAACATTGCCAGAAGGCAGTGTAGTAGGTTGTCTACACAAGCTTCTTGACAATACCAAAGCACGGTGTACTCGATTGGTATCAACACGCGAGCCTGAACTCATGCAAGATATGAACATCGAACCACGAGTACTGGTGATTTGAAAAAATAAATGCCCCCTGGCGCAATAAAGTTTCCAATCACAGTCTGACAGTAGGGTTGACGTGGGCAACAGTCAAGACCGCTCAAACTGAGTGAGACGATCTTTTGGCTGCTCTGTCAGAGACTAGCGAGGGGGCGCACACTCGACCATGTTTGCATCTCGCTCAAGGCACCATCACAAAGGAGTCGCATGTAGCGATAGACTACGACTACAGAGACATGCACGACGCGCAAGCAGCGGTAAAGGTCGCTGCTTATCGCCAACGTCCGGTCACGTCTGAGTTGCTGGAGTGGATTCGTGTGTTGTTCCGCGTTACCCGATTAGGAAAGGTCCAGCCCCAACGTGCCTTGCCAACAAAGCGCTCCACTGTGTAAACAAACACGGCCGACTCACATGAACACCGCCACCCCGCACTCCTGACCAGCGACAGCCAGAAAGCAACGACAGAGACACGACCATCCGACCACGGTCGCTCACAACAACACCATGTCTTACAACGGACGCATGAGCATGGCGCGCACCACTACGCACAATCAGCGGGCACCTCCGGTGAATGAACACGATGCCTTTATCACGCTGGTTTGTCCGCACGCCTCGTCGAGCCCCACCACATGCTAACCTGCATAGCCCGACCATGAAATCGCGGGCTGCATAACAGACATTGGCATCCAGTTCAGCGTATCGGACCTACAGAAGCCCAACCCCCAGATTATACAAAAAGTCTTCGAATGGCTCGCCGAGCTGCTCATGAACACAACGCGCGAGGTGGTTGCGCCGGCGGTGCGCGCCGCTGCCGAAGACATGTGCGGAGGGGACTCGGAGCGGCTCTACCCCAGCGACACCAGAGACTTGATGGGTTTCTTTGTCATCCTGAGGAAGTTGTTGTGCGAGGTGAGTGTCATCCGAGAGGGCCGGTTGGGCGCTTTGCTGACAGGCGCAGTGCGGAATCCATGACTTTACCTTCAACGACCTGTACAAGCCCACTCATGGCCGCCTTGTAAAAATCTTTTCCTACATGATCAACTTTATCCGCTTCCGCGAATCGCAAACCGAGATCATCGACGAGCACTTCAACAAGGCCGAGCGTACCAAGCTCCGGATCGAACAGCTCTACAACGACAAGCAAGCTAAAGAGGCGCAATTGGCCGAACTCGAGCGTAACCGTGCCGCCACGCAAAGGCTGATGCAGGAAAAGGAGAAGCGCAACAACGAGCTCAAGACGCGACTGTTGGAACTGAAGAGAGGGCAAGAGGCAGTAGCGGAGAAGCTGGAGCGTGCTAAGCTCGAGCAGGACCGGCTGAAGAAGCTACTCCAGCAAAAGGTGGAAAACAAGGAGAATGTCCAGCGGGAGGTGCTGAAACTGAAGCCGTACACGCAACAGAGCCCAACGGCTCTGGAAGACTCGCTGCGCGACTTGAGCGACCGACTCACGGGCGACAAGACGCAAATCGACATGCTGGACCGCCGTGCTCGCGCCCTCCAGACGTCGACCGACTCATTCGCCGTTGTCGCTACCGACGTTACTTCGTGCACACGACTCCTTACCGACGTGCAAGCCGACCTTGGGCGGGAAGAGGAGGAGCTTGCAAAGGCGGCAAGACACCGAGATGCGCTAGCCGACCGGAGCAACAATGTGCGCGACGTGGAGCGGCAAGAGCGTCTGTTGCAAAAGCAATTGAGTAACATCAATGCCCGCACCGACAAACTCAAAAGCAAAGGCGACGAAGAGGCAGAACGTGCCCGGAAGCGCATGGAAGAGCTCCGAGAAACCCACGCCAAGCTGACCGAGGAGCGGGGCGAGAAGGGGCGCGAGATGGAGCGGCGGAGGGTGCGCATTGAGCAGACGGAGAAGAAGATGGCTGAGCTCAAGGACAACATTGAAAACGAGGTGCATTCGGCGCACGACGAGTACCTCAAGATGGAGAGCCACATCAAGCTGTACATCACGGAGATGGAGCAAAGCATATAGATTTTTCCTTGACTGGGGCGGCGACGGCGTTTGGGAGCGTGTTGCTTCTCTTCCGATACCACGAGATGATGTAGGGTGCTGGGATGTGATACCATGTAGTTTTGTCTGGATAGAACTGGTTTTGCCTTGTTTACTAGGACCTGTGTGTATGTAGGTGAAATGCTGGTTTTTGCCTCTGCCTCTGCCTCTGCCTCTGCCATGAGCGCTTGTCTCTCACCGCCCATTGGCAAGGCTGGGGACAAGAGACGATAATAGCGCATCCATGGGTCCAAGTGGGCAGCCAAGGTTGGGGCAAGGCCAATACGGAAAGCGGTTTGGTTAGGTATCGCGGTTGGCAAGCAGCAATATCCATGTGCATGGGGGGTCGCGAGTGGAGCCGCCGGCTATGGTGAAGGCATACACACATGTTTGGCCTTTTACACGCACACGGTAACAGTAGTTGCAAGCGAGCAACGACGCATGCGGTACCACGGTCATGCTTGGCCGGCGACACTAAGAATTGTAGTAAGATATTACTGCTATGTAGTCATTGCAAGTCACATGAAAGTCACATGCAAGGGTCCTGGGCGGTGCTGCCGTGTGCATGCATGCGCTCGACCATGGGTTGGAGCAGCCTTCAAAGGGAACATCAAAGCCACGAATGGATGCATGCATGAATCACCAGCGAGCAATGGCGGTTCCCCGGTTCACAGGTGCCTTTTTTCGCAATCGGGGTGGCGGGCGACACTGAAGCAGAACTGTGGTTGCAGGCAGGAATGCGAAGGCAATGCCGCGCAGTGTTTTTTTTTCCTGCATGCAAACCATCCAAGTAGATTGCATTTGTGATTCGTTACCTCAGGCCTAGTGTAGTCGCACCCATTGCCACCCACGCACCGATAACCCGTCGCGGCCCAGGACCAAGCTGCCACTGCTCGCAGCCCTCTTGCTACCGGGTGTGCTGTGCGTGTACGTGTGGTAGGCCAGCAGCTAGACCCCCAGGGCTTGCGCATACGTGTAGTGGTGGGCGAGAGCGAGAGCGAGCGGGGTGTGAGGGCCATTGCATTGCCAATGAGCAGACGCTGATTGCGTGACTCAAAAGCAAGTACCGGAATTCGGGAGCGTCGACTGACTTTCTCCAGGTTTGTGGAGACGTGCAATAGCTGTGGGAGCGGGAAAAAGACCTGTACTCCGCCTTCTGTGCATCAAAAGAGCCTCGTCTCGTTGGTCGCCCCACCCCGCATGGGCGAAGCCGGCCTAGCGGCGCTACAGGCCCGATCCCGGCTCTGACGCTTTCATCATTGCTATACGCAGCAGATTTTTGTCCTTGACTCACCTTGGACTCTACCCAGGCATTCAAATACAGCCCTTTGCCCGCCCATCCTCCTGCACTCTTCAAGCAAACACACACACGCACACACGCACACACACGCACACACGCACACACACGCACACCCCCTCTGCCCAGCATGTGTCCCCCCACCGAAGAAACGCCCGCCGCCAACGGCCATAGCAACGGCACCAACGGTACACCTGTCAGCAAGGAGGGCTTCACGGGTGTCCACACCAAGCAGAACCCTCACCCGTCCCACCGCAGCCCATACCAGCCCGTGGGCGACTTCTTGTCCAATGTTGGGCGTTTCAAGATCATCGGTGCGTCTCCAATGCCATCCCTCACCGTCGCCAGATTCCCACGCGATGATTTTGCTGCAAGACAATCGCTAACCTTTCTTCTACCCATGCAGAGAGCACACTACGAGAGGGCGAGCAATTTGCCAATGCCTACTTTGACCTCGAGGCCAAGATCAAGATTGCCAAAGCGCTCGACAACTTTGGCGTGGACTGTAGGCACCTGCTCCGCCGCGCTGGGCCTGCAAAATCCAGTCGCTAACCAATCCCCAGACATTGAAGTCACCAGTCCCGCTGCCTCGGAGCAGTCAAGAAGGGACTGCGAGGCGCTGTGCAAGCTTGGAGTATGTTTTAGGAACGACCTCATAGCGAGAATGCGGGCTAACAAATTTCCAGCTGAAAGCCAAGATTCTCACGCACGTACGATGCCACATGGACGACGCCAGAATTGCCGTCGAGACGGGTGTAGATGGTCTCGACGTTGTCATCGGAACCTCGGCATACCTCCGCGAGCACAGCCATGGCAAGGACATGACATACATCAAGAACACAGCGCTCGAGGTTATCGAGTTTGTCAAGAGCAAGGGCAAGGAGATCCGCTTCAGCTCCGAAGACTCGTTCCGATCAGACCTGGTCGATCTTCTTTCCATCTACAGCGCCGTCGACAAGGTTGGCGTCGACCGTGTTGGTATTGCCGACACGGTTGGCTGCGCGTCTCCCCGTCAGGTCTACGACTTGGTCCGAACTCTCCGTGGTGTCGTTTCGTGCGACATTGAGACGCATTTCCACAACGACTCTGGCTGCGCCATTGCAAACGCCTTTTGCGCTCTCGAGGCCGGAGCCACGCATATTGACACCTCGGTCCTGGGTATTGGTGAGCGCAACGGTATCACGCCTCTTGGTGGCTTGATGGCTCGTATGATTGTGGCCGACCGCGAATACGTCACGAGCAAGTACAACATCAAGGCGCTCAAGGAAGTCGAGGACCTGGTCGCCGATCTCGTAGAAGTCAACATTCCATTCAACGTGAGTCATTCTGCAAAGCCGAGGTGCTTTGGATGAGAAACTAACACTTACAAAGAACTACATTACCGGATTCTGCGCCTTTACCCACAAGGCTGGTATTCACGCCAAGGCCATCTTGAACAACCCCTCGACCTACGAGATTATCAACCCTCAAGATTTCGGCATGTCGCGATACGTCCACTTTGCCAGCAGGCTTACCGGATGGAACGCGATCAAGAGCCGTGCCGAGCAGCTTGGCCTGAAGATGACGGACGCGCAGTACAAGGAATGCACTGCCAAGATCAAGGCCATTGCAGACATCCGCAAGATTGCTCTTGATGACACCGACTCGATAATCCGCACGTACCACAACAACCTCCACACGACAGAGGAAGTGCCGCTTCTGCCCGGCATGACGGAAGAAGAAAAGGCCAAGTTTGCCCAGGCTGAGGCTGAGCTGAGTGGTGTGAACGAGAAGAGGGAGCTCGATGCCACGGCCGATGCACAAGCCGAGGTGCCTGTTGCTAAGAAGAACAAGGTTGTCACGGTCTCGTAAGCACCCAGCCGAACTGTATATATGGGGTGCTTGGAGTTTGCCACATGCGTTAGCTTTTCTTTTTCACTTCCGCGGATTGTCTTTTATCTTTTTTGAGCAGGCTCGCATTTGTTCCGGCCACGGAAAAGTTGGTGGGTTTTTTGATACCGATAGGCATGTAGGCAGCTGGCACAATGTGCCGCATTTATGAGCAACAATCAAAGTTTAGACATGAAGCCAGATGGATGGCCTTTGGCAGTGCTTTCGCCTCCGATGCCGCGGCCAATCAGCATGCACGCGGCGTGAGCACGTGACACATCGGACCCTGATTGACATGGGGGCTGAGGATGCGGTGCGTACTTGAAAGAGCCCGATCACCCTCGCTTTCCAGAAATCTACCGACACATTTTGATTTTGCTCCTCCAAGACACTGTTGCTTCTCCAAGATGAGCGCTACGCAGACCGTCACCCAGCAGCCCGAGATTACGGCAGAGAATGTTCTGCGCCTGTTTCCCGAAGTCAACACTTCGCTCATTGGGGGGTCGCACAACTCGGCCACAAGTGACAATGCGCTGCAAGGCTACGACGAGGAGCAGATACGGCTGATGGACGAGGTGTGCATTGTCCTGGACAACAACGATGTCCCCATTGGCAGCGCAACCAAAAAGCTCTGTAAGTGTTTGCGCCGGGTGGCGTATCGCGCGAGGCGACATGGCACTGACAAAGACAGGCCACCTCATTGAGAACATCGACCGAGGACTCCTCCACCGCGCCTTCTCGGTCTTCCTCTTCGATTCCCAGAACCGCCTGCTCCTGCAGCAGCGCGCGACGGAAAAGATTACCTTCCCGGACATGTGGACAAACACTTGCTGCTCGCATCCGCTAGGCATACCTGGAGAGACGGGTGTCGGGCTGGACGAGTCGGTCCAGGGCGTGCGTCGCGCAGCAGTGCGCAAGCTCGATCACGAGCTTGGTATCAAGGCCGAGCAGGTGCCTATTGACGACTTCAAGTTTCTCACACGGATACACTACAAGTCGCCAAGCGACGGCAAGTGGGGCGAGCATGAGAGTAAGTCGGCGTGCTGTTCTGGAGGGGGGGGGGGCCTGGTCGTGACGAACGAGTACTCACAATTGCCCAGTTGACTACATCCTCTTCATCAAGGCCGACGTTGACCTGAACGTGAACCCCAACGAAGTGCGGGACTCGAAATTCGTTTCGCAAGAGGACCTCAAGGCCATGTTCCAGGACAAGTCGCTGAAGTTTACGCCCTGGTTCAAGCTCATCTGCGAAAGCATGCTGTTCGAGTGGTGGAACCATGTCGACTCTGGGCTGGACAAGTACATGGGTGAGACGGAGATCCGGCGCATGTAACGCGGGAGAGGGGGGCTTCCGAAATGAGGCGACACGCGCAATGCCCGATCGGCTTCGATAGATAGCACGGCTGCGGCTATCCAACCAGATTGTTTGAGCAATTCCCACGCCAATTACTTGTTTGGCCCTATCGTGCGTAGGTGTACGTCTTTCTTATCGGCACGGTGCCATGTGACGTTGAACAGCCATTGATCTGCACCAGCCCCTCAGCCCGCATATCGCTGCTTGATAAAGTGATTGGCGGCTTGAAGCTGAAGACGCAAAGTCTGACCTAATGATAATACTATCCAGGACCCGTCTTCACGAGTGCGAGCGCCCCGGATGTGGACAGAGGGCTGCGCTTGTCTGTTCCGGGGAGGTCCAGCCGATGTCAGCTCCCTCTCCACCTCGCTGAAGTTCATGAGAAGACGAGTGCCAAGGCCATACTCTCTGACCTCAACATGTTGCCACCGAGCCAGCCAATAGACAAAACAAAGTGAATCAGCAAACATGGAGTGAAGCAACGTGCGTGTTGAGCCGCATCGGTCCGCTGTGCGGGTTGGGGGGGGGGGGGGTCGGGGGTCACCCGGCGAACGGCAAGGGTGAATACCTTGTGGTCTGTTGTTGCGTACTTACGTACGTACATGGCGCTTCGGCATATGGCGGGCTTGACCAAGCTTCTAGCGCCGAGGATGCCTTGGGGGGGGGGGGGCGCTACCCGGATAGGATAGTCCTCGGGGTATATCAATAGGCGGCTGTCTCCCCCCCAAAGCTTCTGGCTCTGCTTCAAACAAGGACTACACTTGCCACTGGCCCAAGACTCGTCCGCCGTCGCCGTCGACCAAGCATATCGCAGCCGCTTACTGCAAGCCCCCCCACGACTCACGTACTCGGCTGCAGCCAGGTCACTTCTACGACACGCTGCTTCTGCCGCTTAACCTCAGCCAAGCATCGCACGGCTGTGCTGTCAGTGGTCTTGTGACCGAGTCCTCAACGAGTAAAAAGCAACGTCGAAACCTCGTGCCAGCCATACCTCAACGCCCAATCCAGTCCACGGACGCAAGACTTACACGTCAATAACGCAACACGCATATAGCCGGTGCAGGAAGATCCCGTCGGTCGGATCCCCCTTACCACCACCACCACCACCAAGACTGAATTCAAAAGGGAGCTCATTGAGCCTCACCCCTTGATGTCGGTTGATCTCCGTCAAGCTTTCACTTCTCTACGCTACCCATCTCGAGTCGAAACAGTCTCGAGATCGCAGCTCTCTAGAGTGCATACAGGAGATTTAAATCGCCCCGCCAAAACATAAACACCAAGACATTGACAAAAGGTATACCATATGGCAGGCAATCGACGGTCACGGCTCCTGCTCAGCCCACGGCGACCATTGGCCAACAAACCAGACTAATGTCGATATCTAGTAGCGTTGTTTGAACACCAGGACGTCTCTTGCTAGATAGACTGCGGTTCGAGTGACTAACGCACCCAACCCCCCCCCACTCCCCCTTCGACAAGCCTGATTGTCCAGCCCTGCGGGGAACACTTCACGCTGGCGTATTCGACGACTGTGCCCATTACCAAACGAAGCGGCAGATCCCATTTGAATACTAGTAGAAGCTTACGCAGTAAACCACAATCATGGCGAAGACCATTTCAGCTGTCACGCCCGTCGGGTGTAGTTTTGCAGTGGAGCCTAAATCGGCATCAAACTTGAGGGCTGCTAACATTAGGGTGCATGAAGTGCCTGCTAGCATCAAGATTGTAAAGAAGAAGGCGGCAGCCACTGTCTTGCCACCACTGACTGAAGGTGTCCGTGTTGTGACGACTGCCGAGTACAAGCAAGCAGCAGCTTGTCTGGCCGAGGCGTTTAATGAAGACGACGTTGTCAGGTACTTTGTTGACGTGCCCGACCTTGCCCACTGGAGTGAAGAGCAAAAGTGGGGGCTGCATGTGGAGATTCTCGAGTACATCACGTATGCTCACATCCTCAAGGGACTGGTGACTACAGCTGGCAATTTTGAAGCAGTGGCGCTGTGGTACGTAGGCCGAGTGGCATCATGGCCCAAAGGAAGACCAAGCTGACATGTGTTGCAGGCTGCCACCAGGCCAGAACATGGACGATTATCTGACCATGTTCCGCTCGGGCATGTGGCGCCTAAACTACCGCCTCTCTGCCGAGGGCAAGCGGCGCTTCTTTGACGAATTCCTGCCCTTGCTCCATGACACGATGCATAATACGCTCGGCGATCGGGAATCCGAGGCGTGGTACCTTGTTTACATTGGCACCAAGCCAAGTGGGCGTGGCAAGGGCCATGCCCGCCGGCTGATTGAGCATGTGACCAAGGTGGCAGACCGCGAGGGCAGGCCGTGTTACTTGGAGTCGAGCAATCCGGTCAATCCCCCGATCTACCGCAAGTTTGGCTTCGAGGAGACGCGGACGGTCAATCTGCAGCGGGGTGGACGCAACATTCCCATGGACATTATGGTCAGGGAGCCTGTGACGGCGGGAGAGAAGCGCGCATTGTAAAGAGGGCGAGTTAGTGCTGGATTGAGGAAAAGCACCGATTCAACAGGTGGTTTTGAGGGAGATACAAGTGGGTTAGGGGAGGGGGCGGCGTTGCGGGGTCCTTCAACAGGGCCCAGCTGGCACTTTGCACATGTCTTTTTTTTTCTCTTTCTTTTTTCCTTCTCTTCCTCTCGTCTCTGTCTCTCTCTCTCTCTGCCGCTCTCCCACACACACACTGTCGTTCTCGTTCACTCTTCTTCTTCTCAGATAGGCTCGTTAGTGTGGCTTTGCAAGGATACAATCTAGTCGCACAATGCTTGCAGGCGTGACGCGTGGCGTGAAAGGTGAAGTGGTGAGGAGTCGAGCCAAGGTGAGGATGCGAGAAACGGGTTGGCAACAGTCCGAGTATGAGGCGTTTCAGCTCGCAATGCCGTGTGGAGTAAGGGAAGGCAGGGCGCTGGGGGGGGAGGGGGCGAAATGAGATGTACTAGCACTAGGAGGGCATGGGTAATCAACACCACGTGCTCGCAGGGCAAGGCTTATCGTGGAGAGGCAAAGACGGGATGCGAGGGATGACAGGAGAGATTAGCGGTGGAGCTGGGCAATAGCAATGGTGGCAGTGCCGGCTGGACGACAAATTGCGGTGTCATGAAACGCGCACTGCCATGGTTGGCCAGCAGCCAAACTCACGCCGCCCTCAATCTCCCTCCTGAACCTTTTTGGAACCCCACGGGTTTTTTGCTTTGCTGCCCCCTCCCTAGCTCACACATACGTCTTCTTCTCCTTGTTTGCTTGCTTGCTTGCTTGCTTGCTGAGCTTACACTCGCTCTATTACTGTGGCCCCGTGACTGTTTTTGTCTCTCTCTCTCTCTCTCTCTATCTCTCTCTCTATCTCTCTCTCTTGCTCGCTCTCATTCTTGCTCTTGCTCTCCTTCTCTCTCCTTCTCTCTCTCTCCCCCCCGCTGCCTCTCGTAGCCTCACCGACCCCCCTCCTCGCTCCCTCCACCCCCCCAATCTGCCAGCCCTAATCGATAAAAAAAAAGTGGTGTCTCCCCACTCGGTCCGCATCCGCACCGCTCGCTATCTTAACCTAACGCACCCCGCAAGCCTTGCCCAGCGACGCGTCGAGGGCCCTGCTAAGCTCATCGTGCAGCCTGCCAACTCACGCGGCCGAAGACTCTGCTGGATCCTGACGTTGCACTCCACGTACCATACCACACCACACCCCCAGCTGCTGTCTGTTGACACTCCGTCTTACTTTCACTCTCGCTCGCGCACACACGTCCCAGACACGCACTCTCTCCATCTCCATCTGCTGCTGCTGCTCGTGCTGCTCGTCGTCGCTCCCCATCGCTCCCCCATCTCGCCATGGTCGCCCAACGCCGGTACTCTGTCACAGGCCAAACTCCACCCGACGACGCCGAAGCCATGAAGGCGCGCTCTCCGAAACTGCAGCCGCTCGACACCAGCGTGCAGACACCGCCCTGCGGCTATTGTGACAACGGCGCAGATCTGGCCGCCACAAGTGAGGAGAGCGGGTCGGGGCAGCGGAGAGGCAGGAAAATGGGCCCGAATGGCACCATTGTACGCACGTCGAGCAAGCGATCGGCCACGCAGCTGCCGTCGCCCAGCTCGCCGTCGCAACAGCTGCCACAGAAGATTCCGCGATACCGGCTGAGCCATCATGGCCACGGCGACGTGGACATGGACTCGGACACGGATTCGGCTTCGGACACGACGGATGGGCGCGGAGAAGGCAGCGAGGCAGACGACGACCATGGCCTTGAAAGCCAGGCAACGTCGGTCCCCGAGACGCCCGAGTATTCACACGCTTGCAGTGGCCTGAGCCTGCCCGAGGCCACGCGCCTTGAGGGGCTGCGCCTGTATGCGGAGGAGAGGCCGGATGACGAGCACATGGACAACTATGCACTCTCACCGCCGCACTCGAGAAACAACAGCCTCAACTACACGCCGCTCGACGCCGCCAGCGAGCTGCAGGCTGATTGGGCGGCACACATTGCCCTGCACCAGGTCAAGCCCGAAACCACACACATGGAAGCCATGGAGCCACCGCCCACGGCCGCCCACGACCCCCTCACCTTTATCACGCTCCCGCCCGAAATCCGCCATCAAATCTACCGCAACTGCGACAACCTCGTCCTCGAAAAACCCCTCGTATACTGCATCTCGACGTTCAATGGCGAGATGCAGCACCCCCTCGCCTCCGTCTCCCGCCTCGTGCGCTCGGAAGCGCTCGCGATATTCTACAGCTACAATCTCTGGGTCATCAAGGTCGAGTTCAAGATGATGTACGAAGCCTTCCGAGACTGGATCATCCGACTTGGCGACGGCGCAGGCTTGCTACGGCTCATCAACTTCTCGGTGCGAGGCTCACTGTTCAAGCCCAAGAAGAGCCATACGCAGAGTGTGCTGATTCACGGCCATTTGGTGCAGCTTGCTCCTGGCGTCATTGGGCCGGCCGCGGGGTCGAGAGAGGAGCTGTACTGCCCACCCGATGGCGATGCGAGTTTCAAAATCGACCTCAGCGAGAAGTATGCCGGCGGGCGAGTACAGCTGGTGCGGAACGATGGCACAAGCGAAGCGGGCGAAAAGGCACGCGTGTACCTGTGCAAGATGATTGAAGGCCTTTGGGAGAAGAGGAGGGCCGGCACGCTCAATGGCCAGGACTGGATCACCATGGTGGACAATTTCCTTACCTTTATCGGGGGTTGGTGATGATGCTGCACATGGCGCGGTGGGTCGGGCGTCTTGTTTGACAGACCAAAAAAAAGTGAACATTTGGAGGGACTAGGCATTTCGGGCATTTCAAGCATCTCGTTTTCACACGTTTCTGCATGATGATAATGAGGAGAAGGAGGAGGGGCGTTATGCGAGGGAGGAGGTAATGCTGCATCACATACATAGCTGAGGCCTGTTGTCCTTTTTTTTTTCCTCTTGTTTTATTTTTGTGGAATTGGGTTTGCATCAATGATGATTTTTGATAATAACATAAATATACCCCCTGTTTGTTTTAGCACTTCAACTATAGCGAGTGTCATTTGACATGTTCAGCCTATAAGAGAGGCGTGTATAGGGCGTTTGTAGGGTGAGGCAAGCAAACAGGTAATCATTAGCCAAGAGCATGTCCGCCCTTTTCTCGGAAGACGGAAATGGACTTTGTCGGAGGGGACTAATAACAGGCCATTTCTTTTAGGCGTCCCGGCGTTCCGGACTTCTCCTTTTCCGCAGGTCGCGCGGGTGGCACGTGCACTGGAGTTTTGGGGGGGGGGTTTGTGTACAAAAACTCCATGTGCCCTCGTTGGGTGGGATTGAATCGACGACCGCCTGGTTTGGTGGGAAAGGAGCGCGTCGCGATAACAGTCTTTCCCGGTTCCAGCGACACAGACGTCTGTTCCGGCATATAACACACACATACAAAAAGACAAGAGGGAAAGAACAGAAACAGACGGCAAGCATGCGCATCCTGCTCGCCCTGGGCCTTGTGGCCGGGCTGCTCACGGCCCTCATGTACAGCCTCGAGTCGTCGCTCCCGAAATTCTACATTTTCTCGCCGACGGAACTGCACGCGCTCAGCGTCGAAGCCATTGACCGGCACGGCAACGATACGGCGGCTGTGGTGCAGCACATTGTCGACTCGCTGGCTGCCACGCACGGCGCACACATCAATCTCGACGAGGAATGGGTGTTTAACAATGCGGGCGGGGCCATGGGCGCCATGTATATTATCCACGCGTCCATTACCGAGTACCTGATTGTGTTTGGGACGGCGGTTGGGACCGAGGGGCATACGGGAAGACATACTGCGGATGGTAAGAACATGTGTTGCTATAGCCTTTTCTGGGGGAGGGATATAATTGCTAATGTGTGGTTTGCGCAGATTATTTCCATATTCTCAAGGGAGAGCAGATTGCGTATATGCCGGGTAAGGGGGTTTATGAGGCTGAGAGGTAAGTTTTTTTTTCATCGTCTTCTTGTTCCTCATGCCTTGGGGTGTTTGTTGGACGAGCGAGATATGGATATTCATGGGTGGACATGGTAAAGTGGCAAGTGGACTGACGGCCATGTAGATACCCTCAAGGCAGCGTGCATCATCTCCGCCGGGGCGATGTAAAGCAGTACAAGATGGAAAGCGACTGCTTTGCTCTCGAGTATGCTCGGGGGTGGATCCCGCTGATGTTGGGCTTTGGTTATGCTGATAGTAAGTCTTGGAGAGTCAGGGAGAGAGGGAGAGAGAGAGAGGACGTGGCTAACTTTGTGCGAATAGCTCTCACGAGTACGCTGGATTTCCCCACGTTGTGGCGCACGACGGTTATTACGGGCCGCGAGATGATTGGCAACTTGGTCAAGGGAAAGCTGTGAGGTGGTTGATTATGGAGAGTAGAAGAGGAATACAAAAGCAATGGTTGCATAGTGTTGTTTTGCCGTGTCTTGTTTGGAGTGATGGTACCAGGGTTGGCAGTCTGTTGTGTGTAGCTGCAGAGGGTAGAGATTGATAAGATGCCAGTGCAAGCAAGAGCGGGAAGCGTGGATGCAAGGGTACAGTCAAGCCATGTATGTATTATTAACTTCCGATGGACGAAAGAAAACCAAGCACAATGTATGTACATGTACACGACAAGGTGCAAGCAGAAAACTAAACACAGTTTTGAACAAAAAAAAAGGACTTTGTTTGGACTGGAATTAGAGTTTGATGTGCATTTCCAAATTTGTTTCCTTTGCGGGAGGAGGCCAAGAAAAGAATAGACTTTGGGCGGATGCTGCAGGTAAGCACATGGGCGCAACCTTGTGGGCGGGTGTGCCGAGAAAGGTGCATGACGGTGATGTTGGTGCGCGTGGATTGCTTGGCTTACACTTGGATTTATTCATGATTGTTCTTTCTTTCTTTCTCTTGGGGTGTGATGAAGAGGATCATGGGGAGGTGCAGCGGAGAAACAAAAAAATAAATAATACGCGTCATGGATTGTGGCGTAGGGCAGTTTCGCTGGTTTAGCACGAGTTGGCCAACAGGGGGGGGGGGCAAGGATTTTTTTCAACGGGTAGACGGCGTTGGCCAAGTGGGAGAGGGAGAGCAAATGGACGAACCACCAGGTTGCTTGCTGCATTCGTTTTCTTTTACGCCGTAGTGCCGCAGGGTGATGGAGATAAGACGTCATGGCTAGAGGGTTTTTTTCTTCTTTCTTTACCAGCCGTAGACATGGAACAAGACGCGACAATTTTTTTTCCCTGTTTGATCTGTTTGGCTGTTGTGCATGACACGAGGGATGCGCCGAGGGTTGGATGTGTTGGTGGTAGTATAAGGGAAATTCAGGGCTGGGCAAAGTTAGTATTCTGGGGGGTATAGCTGATGAAGAGCAAGACGGGAGGGAGGGAGAATGGCATGTTGCAGGAGTGGGAGTGGGAGGGGGAGTGGGAGCGGCTGAAGGGCACTAGACTATTCATGGCCGAGACCCTGGACAAGACATGGTGATGGGTGTGTGACGAGTGCGAGGAGCATGGCAGGCGTTTGAGGCTTGGGGAGATTGGAGGCCTTGTCCAAGTGAAGCTGAGTAACAAGTAGTGATGGCTTTGTGGCTGCTGGACGAGGGGGTGGCTGGCGGTGGTGGTGCAGGCAAAGGGGCTGGGCAATAAAAATAAGCACTGCCGGCGGCTCGACAAACAGGGCCAAGGTGGTGGTGGCGTATGCTGCATGCAGTAATGCTGGTTCCGATAATTGCGACGAGGCTATCGAGAGAGGGAGGCTGTTGGTGAGCGAGGCGCCCGTCGTCTCTGTGTGCATCTGTATGCACCCCCCCCCGTGCCAGTCAGGAATCAATAGCCAGCGATGTGTCTGCTACCACTACAGCTACAGCTACAGCCGCGAAACAATCGCCACATGTCATGTCTCGTCCTGCCGGCCGTCGTCGAGCGATGCGGCGGCTGAGATTGGCGAGACAAGGCGCGCGCATCATGGATGGTGGCGCCTTTGTCTTGGACATGGGGCGGCTCGTGGCATCTGAGGCACGGCCAAGACGGACGAGGCCAGTGGAATGGCCCGAAGCTGACGCGGTTTTTTCTCTCCTCCCTTGGGCCTATCCACACGTCTTGCCCAGAGTCGTCATAGTATACACTGCCGTCGAGTGCTAAGTATATGCCTATGCTGCACTGTGCCTGTGCCTGTGCCTGTGTCGGAGACGTGTCGTCATGGCCAGCGCTTGGTGGGCCAAGTATCCGGGCCGCCGTCTGGACGTGACGCACGCCGATATGCAGTTGCAGTGCGAACTAGGTGTAAATGGATCCATCTTGGATTGACAGCCGCCGCCGCCGTCGTCGTCGTCGTCCTCGCACGCTTACTTGGGCTTGCGTCAGTCGTGCTCCAGACCCTGATTCGCATCAAACCTGCTCGCTCGCTCTTCGCTCTTCGCTCTTCGCTCTTCTTCCTCCTCCATTTCTTGATTCCTGTTTGGTCCTGTTCTGCTCGTCCGTCGCTGCCATTCACTCACTGCCTGCTTGCCTGCCGATAACCACCTGCCCCCCCGTCCCCGTCGTCGCCCTCGCCCTCCTTCTCCTCCTTCTTCTTCTCCTCCTCCTCCTCCTCCTCTTCCCCGCCCATACTCGTCGCCGTCCGCCCGCTTTTCTTTTTCCCTTTGCTTGTTTTCTCCACGCGCCCAGGCCCAATCCCGCCTTTGTTTGCCGCCATCCACACATTGGTCGCGCCCGCGCCCGCAGTGACCATGCTCCCCTCGTTATCCCCAGCCTCGACTCTAGCAATAGCCATAGTCTCATTTCCCCTCGCACGCCTGGCCACAGCCCAGTCTCTATCCATATCGCCAGATGCAAAGGCCCCCGGCGCCGCCTCCGACTACATCAGCCCCTCGTTTGCCGGCTTTGGCATCGAGCCCTCGAACCTCTTCTCCTTCACCGGCGCCGACCAGACCAACCAGTTCTCCGTAAAGCTCCTGCAGAACCTCGCAGACTACTCGGGCGCCCCGCCCCACATTCGCCTGGGCGGAAACACGCAGGACTACATGCTTTTTGAGCAGACCAACCGACAGTTCGCATGGACCGCCAACAAGGACTCGACCGCCCAGGGCGTCCAGGCCGCCGACTCCATGATCATTGGCCCCAACTACTTTACCGCCCTCGACAGGTTTCCCAAGGACACGCCCGTCACGGTCGGCCTGAACATGGCCTACATGGAGAGCGACTGGCAGACGCGCATCACGACCATGGCTCAGGCTGCCGTTAACGGCATGAAAAACGTCAAGCTGTATTCGTTCGAGGTGGGCAACGAGCCCGATTTGTGGCTGCAGAACTCGTTCCGCTCCGGCACCTGGTCCGGAAAGACGTACACGGACCAATGGCTCGACCGCTGCGAGGCCATCTACAACAATGTCCTCCGAAATGCCAGCCTCCCCTCGTCCTTTTTCGAGGCTCCTTGCACCGCTTCGACAATCGGAACCACGTTTGAAATTGCCCAGTTGGTCGACGATGGCATCATGACGGGCAGGAATGGCGACAACTTCCTGTCGACATGGAACCAGCACGATTACTACTATTGTACGTCACTCTTCCCTCCCTCCCCCCCAACTAGCCGACGACTAACAAGCCGCAGTCATTGGAGTCACACCCACGCCTATTACTCTGGATGAACTCATGGATCTCGACACGACAAACACACAGTTCAAGTACTGGGAGAAGCAGGTCGGCATCGCCCTCAAGACCGGCCTGCCCTATGTCCTGCGCGAAATGAGCTCCATTGGTCCTATTGGCATGCCAGGCGTCAGCGACGCCTTTGGCTCCGCCCTCTGGACCATGAACTTTTTCCTCTACGCCGCCTCGATTGGCATCTCGTCTGTCGAAATGCACATGACAGACAACTCCAACGCCAGCGCCTGGCAGCCCATTCCCATGTATGGCCACGACACGACGTTTGTCCGCCCTCAGTACTACGCCCACGCCGCTGTTGCCCAAATCATTGGCAACGGCAATGGAACCACGCAGATTTACGCAGAAAACACGGGTAACGTTGGCAACGGCTACCACGGTCGCATCCGCGTATACAGTGCCTATGCAAATGACAAGCTGCAGTCTGTCACCATGATCAACTCCAAGCAGGCCAACGCCTCGACTTCGGACAAGGGCACCTTTACATTCAACCTAAATCTCGGCTCCGACAACGCAAACAAGGACGTCTACATTTCCTATCTCACGGCCGACGGCGCAGAGTCCCAGACGGGCGTCACGTGGAACGGCATGAGTTACGACGACGTCACGGGTGCCTCTTCTACCGTCGATAGCACCGTCACCATGACCACAACCGATGGCTCGGGCAAGCTCAGCGTTCCCGTCAGGGACACCCAGGCGGTTGTTGCCAACATTGGCTCCCAGCTGGGCGTTAACGCTGTCCTCAAGCCCGACGGCACACAATCTAAGAAGAGTAATGCTGCTTCGAGGTCGCTTGATAATGCCAATATCGCCATCTTCAGTGGTCTTGCCGCCATGTTGATATCACTAATGGCAGTGTAAATAAGGCGCGACTAGCACATGGCTTGTTTTCGTCTTTTTCGTTTCTTTTTCTCTCCATCTCTCCATCTTGTCTCTTTTGTCATCATCATCACAACAGCACTTGCATCACGGACCTTGCATATGCATTACGAATCGGCGTCAAGGATTGCTTTTTTTTGGGTTGGGAATGGGAAGAGGCCTTGCTACATGCAACAGACATGGTTGTTTGGATGAATGGAGAAACTTGAGTAATGGTTCTGGCAATATTGGAGGATCCATTCATCCACGCATTACTGCTTTTCAGCAGATACTAGGATTTGACTTGTTCTAGTTGGCTCTTTTTGGTTTTTTCTTTCATCGCTACACAGTTCAAGAACGGGAAAGAGGCGTATATAACAAGGCGCTTGGAGTGTGTGTATATACATGGAATTCTATCATGTGTATCTGTGCTACTTACCCTATGTGGTAGTAAACCAGAGAATTGTGAAGAATAGGCTCATTCTATTTTTGTTTGTCTCGTAGTGACCGGCCGATGGGTGTTGAGTGCTTCGCATATGGCCAAGCGAAGAGTATATTAATTTCCTTGTAGGTTCTTGATAGTACACTGACGTGGAAAGAAAGGATTACCAGGTGTAACCCCTGTTAATCTACTAAGATAAGCACTTTATCCTCATCAAGCCATGTCCCTGGTCCAAAGCAAAAGCGTCAGCATTATACACTGATCAACATGACAATCTGCCGACTGTAGATCTCTCCCTGAAAATCCCATCTCTATGCAATTCCATGTACATGGTAGCTACGGTAAGGGTTATCTTGGCGAATGAATAAATGCTGCAAGACATTGTAATAGGTATCGCAGGGGGGGAGACCTTATATATTACGAATACAATATTACGAATAGAAAGCGGGGAGATGACACCATGGCGGGGCAGGCATGTGTGGACATGGGCATGAGCATGGGCATAGCCATGGGGGTGGAATCGAGGAGCTATACACAGGGCTGCCAAGTGTCTCAGTAGTGTCTCTTGTCTGATGCAGCATGGTGAGTGAGCGCTATCCTGGCGGGCATGGAATCGAGTATTGCGTCTACGGCACGACAAGGAAGAAAAGGAGGCCTCTCTCTCTTGGAGAGGCGTGAGAGCTGTCTTGTAGTGCTAGTGATATGTGATAACATAGAGTGAATTCGACATTGACTTGGTACATTGCATAAACCACAAAAGGAAATTCAAAGGGTAGTAAGTGTGATTGTGAATCTCAAACTCGTGCCATTCATACACATAGTAACGCCTCTCGACGCCTTCAAACTGTGAAATTAGAGATCTTCCCGCTTGCGCTAATCGCAACTCGACCCTGGCTGTATCTGATTTGAACGGATAGTCATCGATCGCAAAAAAAAAAAAAAAAAAAAAAAAAAAAAAAAAGGGGAA